TTTGCGTTTCAAAGCTCTATTTCTGACACTTGTAAAAATTATATAAATAATATTAGGAACACCAAAAAAGTTACAATCACAATCCCAATAACCATGATACCCTTGTCTGGTGGAAGAACAACGAAGCCTCAGAGCCCTCAACGAGAAGACTGGACCGCATCAGCCCGAGGCCCGGGGAGCCAAAGCCCCTTAGCCTTAGGCGAGTTGAATCGACCCCAAAAGCAAACAGGGCCTTAAACTATCTAGGGATGGGATACCCAAAACAAGCAGGGCCTTCAACTATCTAGGGATCCCCGGTATGAGAGAGGGGATACCCAAAACAAGCAGGGCCTTAAACTATTTAGGGATCCCCGGTATGAGAGGGGATACCCAAAACAAGCAGGGCCTTCAACTATTTAGGGATCCCCGGTATGAGAGAGGGGATACCCAACACAAGCAGGGCCTTAAACTATCTAAACCTCCCTGGTATGAGGTAGGTGATATCAATCCCTGAGCTATGGGATTCTGGAGTCTCTCGCAACGGCCAGGGCATCGCAGAGGCCGTTGCGCGAGGGCGGCAGGAGCCCGGCCGTTTGTTCGGGAGGGGTTCACGCAAGATTTTGGATTTTTGGGGGTAAGGGCGAAGGCCTGTTTCTGTTGCTCAGGGTTGGATAGGCTCAAGGGCTTGGGGGTGTAATGTTGCTGGTCGGCGCCCGCCCTGCAACCTCAGCCCCTTTGATTTGACCAGACAGTCAACCACCGCGAACCCAACTGAGCTTCGGAGTCATTCGTGATGCTCGGTTTTCTCGTGGGTGGACTCGGTGAATTCAATGAGCCAGACCAAGGGTCTGTTAACAGATGCCACATGGAACCGCGAACGTGATCCACGCGAACTAAGGCATTTTTTGTTTTGTCTTCGTCCATGGGAGTGGTGGGCTGTGGTAAACATGTTGTTTACCAAAAAAGCGGGAATACATAGTTCCTCTTCCCTACGGTTTAGGTTGAGGGTTTCAACCCTGAATCCTCCACAACAAAAGTCCAAAGCCCCACATCCGATGTTCTCAGCCCACAAACCCCGAAGCCCTAACCAACAAAAAGCCTTCAACTCCTGAATCCCGAAGCCCTAAACACCGTATAAACCTTGAGCTCTAGACTGAGGGCCCATATGAAACCCTAAACCGAGATCGTGGGGGGGCTGCCAGAGAAGCCTCCATCATTTGCAATGAGACTTCCTTGGGGTTCCTGATTAAAGTTATACTTTAAAGGCGCCCAGAACCCATTGAGCTCCTAAATCCCTACATTCCTCTTATAATAACCCTTATGGACCCTGTATTTAGGAACCCGTTAAAAGGAACTTCATTCTAATTGTGAAGAGCCCCTGCATGAGAGCCTCTTGAGCGCACCCGCCCCCAGGAAAGTGCCGCGCTCCGCCGACAGGGCTCCGTGCTTCGGCTGGATTAGGGTTTAGGGTTTTGGGATTTGGGGCTTTAGCAGAGTTTGGGGTTTATGGTTTAGGGTTTGCGGTCTTCTTGGGGTCTCTACTTCATGTTAGGGTTCAGGGGTTTATTTGGGGGGTTTTGAAAAAGGCTCGTTTCGAGGCTTGTACAGGCATTTGATTTTTTTAAAAGTCGGGTTTTGGTATTCTGATGGGCTGAGGGCGCGGGTTGCATTTTTCGGGTTGAGGAAGGTTTAAGATTAAGATTTGAGGGGTTTTGGGCAGCCTAGGGTCGCAGGGGCTTGGGGTGGTAGGGATTTTCAGGTTTAGGGTTTGGAGAGTTTGGGGATTTTCAGTGGTTTAGGGCTCCATGCCACCGCAGGCCCAAGCCCAGAAATGAAGGCGCTTCATCATGCAGGGTTCAAGTTGTCATTTTTCGCCTTCAGATCCTAGCAAGGTTCAAGTGTTCTGGTTATGAGGTGTTCGGACATGAGTTTGGGGGTCAAATCGTTGTTTTCTGTTGGGGGGCTCTCCCCAGCCTTTTCCGAGCCTCTCCCGAGCCTTTTTGCAGCCTCTCCCAGCCCACTCCCGAGTTTCAAGGCNNAAGCTGTGGGCTTCGGGTGTGCCTCTTGTTCCTGTCCTGGTTGAGTCGCTGCAGAGCAGATGCAAAAAAAGGCAGTTTTGAACTTACGTGCTACTTCCGAGCCACTCCCCAGTTTCCCTCTTCCCACACTCCCGAACTGGAGCCACTCCGGAGTTGCCTTGACATTTCCCACCGAGTACGAACACCTGAAGACTACCTTGATCAGACAAATGTCATGGTCGCCTGACGGGGTTCCATATACAGGCTGGGGCGAAAACGGTCCCTATGCCTGACCATGTCCTACCCATGGAGCCTTATGCCTCAGACCTGACCGCTTTACAGCTATATTGCAGGGTGCCGCGCCTGTTCAGAAACTTCGTTATAGCCCCTACAAAATCCTAAACCGCAAGCCCTGCAAGCCTCACTTCCTGAACACCCCTAGGCAACCCTAACCCCTAAACCCTAAGCCCTAAACCCTAATCCCTAAACCCTACCTATTCCCTAAACCCTAAGCCCTAAAACCTAATCCCTAAACCCTAACCCCCCCAAAAAAAACAGAGCTTCCATCCTGGTCCCTGCATCCCCGGATCCTGAGCCCTGAGAGCTTTGCATCCTGGAGCTCCCGTCGACGGTGCCAGAAAAAGGCCAGGAACCCCTAAGCCCTAATATAGGGGCCTAAATAATTTCCTATATTATTTTGAGGGGTTCCTTATTATAAATGTATAGTATAAGGGGCCCCAAAACCCTATTCTGATTATTAAGGCCCCAATATTACACTGCTCAAAGGCCCCCAAAACCCTAAACCCTAAACCCTGGCGTTCGTCGTACCAGGTACCTCGCCTAGGCAAGTCCGAGAGTGAGTGCTGAAACCCTGAAACCTTGAAGGTCGCCTGGTAGTGTACCCAATAGCTAACATGCTGTTGTCTCGCCAATGTGCGTTCGCCGTACCAGAATCCTCGCCTAGGTTCGTCCGAGTGAGTGCTGAAACCCTGAACCCGAAACCCCAAACCTTGAACCCGAATCCTGAACCCTAATCCCTAAACCCGAATCCTGAACCCTAAGCCCTGAACCCTGAACCCTAAACCCCCCAAACCTTAAACCCGAATCCTGAACCCTAAACCCTAAACCCTAGACCCTAAACCCCCAAACCCTAAACCCGAATCGGATTGTACCCTGCAATGCGCAAGGTGGGAGGCAAAAAAACCCGAATCCTGAACCCCAAACCCGACACCCGAAGCCAAGGCATCCCGACGCGACCGTGGAACGCCCTCCCGGCTCGAGCTCTCTCCCGGGTCGCTGGAGTTCCGGACACGGCTTTCGGAGTGAGGGTTTAGGTTTAGGGTTTAGGGTTTAGGGTTTCAAGGTTTCGGGTGTGGGGTTTAGGGTTTGGGTTTCTTGGTTTCGGGTTGAGGATTTAGGGTTTGGGTCTCAGGGTTTAGCAACTTCGGGTTTAGGGTTTGGGTTTAGGGAGGGGTTCCCCCAGGTGTCTACTGCCAAGCGAGCCTGAGAAAATGAGCAATAGCATACCTTAGGGCTCCTTACTGGAAACATAGCAGGTATACTCCAAAACCCGATGATAGTTGTTAAGATCCCTCTATTTGGGTTTTGGGGTTGCTTGGGCCTGTGCTGCACTTCTCAGCGCATGCCTTTTGGAAGTTCCGAGGCTCCAGTCGCAAAAAACGGTCTTGAAGTTTAGGTGGCTTCAGGCGATTGCACATGTCCTAACGCAACTAAATAGGGGTGGAGGGCTGTTTCGGAGTTGGGTTTCGTGAGTCTGCTGGTTCTGCGGCTTCTGCGGTTGGGAGTCCGGGGTTCATCAGGCTTCGGGGTTGGGAGAGGGTCGGCCTGTCTGTTTGTTCTAAGGCCCCTCTGTTGTTGCAACATGGTTTATAGGGGTTTATAGGGGTTTATAGGGTTTATAGGGTTTATAGGGCTTATAGGGTTTACTAGGGTTTATAGGGTTTAGTAGTGAACATGGAAGCGACAAGCCCTGAACCCTAAAGGGGAAGCAGCAAGCCCAGAACCCTAACCGGCCCTGCTCTCGGTGTCACCTTGTGTAGCAGACGGAACAGGGCTGATAAAGGAAGTGGCCCTGAACCCAAAACTCGACCGTGTGGTATAGTTCATGCAATCCTGAACTCGCTCGGAATGCCTACACCATCCTACACCCTAAATCCATGGCCTGGGCTCTTGTTTAGGGAACTGTAATTAAACGTCCGTTACCAAAAAACATTGAAGAACACACACGCGAGCACACAACTAGCAATAGCCATGCACACACATATATACATACACGTGTGTGTGTGTGTGTGTGGGTGTGTTTATGTGTATGATTGTGAGAAACGCTTTTCCTGATGGTAACAGGAGCTAGATCCCCTCACTCAGCTGCAGACCTTGCTTGATCATGCTGCGAATGTAAGAGCACGCGTGGCAAGGGGGAGCCCAGTCCAAAAAGTTCAAACACACACACCCCATATCCGAATTCGAAAAGCCGGAGAGGACCCCGACGCCGCCCCAGACGCCCAGTCGGAGAAGGAAGGGGTTACTGTGGGCGTGCTGGTTTTGCGCTTCTAATTTATTGATGACGGAAGTTCCACCAGCAAGATGAACAGCAACAGCCAGAACGAAAAACAAGCATAGACTGCAATGCAGCATTCAAGACGACGACCCCTGCTGCTGCTGCTGTTGCTGCTGCTGCTGCTCCTGCTTACTACTATTGCTGCTACTTACTACAACAACGGTATCAACAACAACAACAACAACTACTACTACTACTACTACTTCTTCTTCTTGCCAAGTGGGTGACAACAAACTATTGCCGACGAAGATTGCTACTTCCTACTTCGGTTCCCACTTGTACTCCTAGTCCTATCCTGCACCAACCCCTGCCCCATTCCTGTTCCTACTTCCACTGTTGCACTGCCAGTAGTACTACCACCACCTCTATCACAGTTGCGAAGGCTCGGCCGGAAAGTCCCGCCTTGTATCGTCTCCTGCGGCGCCATGTGTGAAGGATGTGGTTGCAACCGGAATGCGAAGGTCACGGCGGTAGTTGGGGCGCCAGTCTTGCTACTTGGAGTCGCCCTTTACATCGGAGCCTTTGTTGAGGGCTGGCGCAGGGATGCACTGATGCTCGTGGACGGACAGACGCACTTCACCGTAACTGTACGGGGCGATATCGCCCATGACGATGCCAAGTTCGTATTCTACTCAAATGTTACGGAAGACTGCAAGCAGCGTGCCGAGACTATTACCATCCGCCAGACCTATACCAGGGAACTGTTCAGTGTGGATTCCGGCTGCTCCTTGTCTATGAGGGACGGATATGGCTGGAAGGGCCAGGACCTGGTGGCATTGGGCACATTCGCCCCAGGCGGACGTACGTATGGTGATTTTCAGATTAGCACCTCATATCCAACATGGGTGGTTGGTGTGGGACAGTCCACGCACCCCTATAGCCTTGTGGAGGAGCATAAAGTCGTTGGTCTGGCTATGAGCGGGTTCTTACTGGGCCTCGGCGGTTCCATCACACTCTTCGTCAGCTTGTGCCTCATGTGCAGCTGCTGCCAGCCGGCGGCTAAGGTAGATGCGAGGGAGGCGCTACTGTCGATGAATCAAGATCAGCTTCTGCAGGTGGTGCAGGCTCCAGTTGCTGTGGCAACGCCCATCTTGGCTGAAGCAGTAGATCCGTAAAGTCGGGCCATGTACAGATGATGACTTTTCATTTCGGGCTCTTCAGTATTGAAAAATTATTGCAAGCTGTAGCCAGCTGACTGGTCGCAGTGCTCTCCGAAGGAAGCTGCACGTTCTTATTCCCCGGACAGTTACAGCATTCAATGAAGCACTTCATGCTTCTATGGGTCCCGTCGCCGCAGCAAGCCCGGTGCACATGTTGCTGGGCAGGTTGCTCTTTGAAGCCCGTGGTGTGAGCCCTATAGCACATTTTTTAAAACCTTCGCAGTCAAGCAAGTAAAAAAATCCGTCAAGGAGCCCCATTCTTTTTATCGTTGTAAGGCCCTGAGACCCAAAGCCTTCAACACTCGATGAAGACCCAAATTCAAGACCCCTCAACCCTCATTCCTAAACTACGGCTGATGATATATATCCTGCATTACCCATGATAAGGAATACACCATGATTCCCATAGTTTAGGGTCCTTAAAGTGACCCAGGGTTTATATAAAGCCCTAAACCCTAACCCTAAAGCCTAAACTCTAAACTCTAAACCCTAAACCCTACCCTATGAATCTTCCAGGATCTTTATCATCAACAGCAGGAAGGCCCCTAGACGAAAAGGACTCTTGCGGCGCTCCTGGGCGCTGCAGAGGAGGCGGTGCTGCGGGTGGAGGCTGGCATTGTTTCATTAGAGCAGCGTTAGGTTTTAGGGTTTAGGGTTTAGGGTTGTTTGAGTGTTGAATGGGGTTTAGGCTTTTAGGGTTTTTGGGGTGGTTTGAAAAGGATTTTGCGAAGAGTTGTTAGGGGCAAAAGGGTTCTATAAGGGTTTTTATAGGGTGTCAGAACGGTTTTCATGGGGGTTTATTTCCAAGATAGCGCGGTAACAAAAAGCGTTCTTACGCTGGGGTGGACGGCGGCTGTTCCCGTGAGGCCGGTCAGCACGACGGTTCCGCGTGGCGTGGTGGACATTTTTCATATTTTTCACTAAAGTGGCAATCTTTCCATTGACCCGCGGCCCTGTCCTCCGGGGACGCACGATGTCATTGTAAGCCTTACCACTTTGGATTCATGAATCGCACTCCCGCCACATTGCCCGCCCGCACTTGCGGGTGTGCACGGGCCATATCCCGTGTGTGTATCCCCGTGCTTCCGCAACCGCACCTTCTGTTTGAGCCTCCAAGAATCGTGCTCCGGCTGCAGTACTGAGTACTGCCCACATTTTGGGGTGGAACTTGTGCTGTTTGCAAGGGTGCCGTGTGCCATCCTCGGCTCCTGGGACGGGACGATAGGGTCTGGAATGCTACATTATCTTTCTTTTTTTGGGGTCTGCGCTCGCAGAGTTGGCTTTCTTTAAATTGGGGTTCTGTCAAGGCCTGCAGCGCAGCATGTGCAATCCCTCGACCAAATCTTCTTCACATCCGAAGCTTTCCTCTAAACCCTACAAGGTCCCCGAAACCGCGGCCCTAAGCCCTCCCAAAACTGGACCAGGAACCTGCAGAATCTTAGCTACTATCTACCCTACACCCTAAACCCTAAACCGTCGACCCTAAACTCTCGGCAAAAAAGCCGTCGATCCATTGAAGGCAACTAAGCCCGAAGCCCTCAGCCCTCGAGCCCATGAGCCCTCGGACCCGTGAACCCTGGCCGTGCTACATTGAAGCCCTCAACCCCTGAAGCCCTGAACCCCCGCAATTGCATGGCGTGGTCCGCAAAGTCTACAACTTCCATACCAAAATTGCCAGGGCTGAACCTGACCGAGCCAGCGCGAAGCGACAGAGGTAAAGCAGCAGGGTGTGGCAATCAACCATGCCCGGCAAGAGGTTACCCTAGCTTGGGCCTCGGCGTTGGCGCCCCGGTCCTGCGCTGCCGCGACATCCTGGATCGCCATGAGCAGCAAGTGGCATCAGTGGCTTGAACAGGCGCTCCAATTCAGTGACGACGAATTCGACGAGCTTCAAAAGCGAGTTGACACTCGCTCGCCAGGCCACCGAAGGACGCACGTGAGCCCTAGACCCTCAACCCTGAACCCGAGGTTAGCCTAAAACCCTAGCTAAACCCTACACCCTAAATTTTAAGCCCCTAAACCTAAATCCCTTAAACCTAAGCCCTGAACCCTAGGCAATAAACCCTGAAGGGGTTTGGGCTTGGCAGGCATGGCTTGAAGCTCGAAATTCAGGGCGAAGAGGCTTGCAGTAGTACCGTTTAAGGGCAAAAACCCATGTAGGCCCTCGGGTGTCCGAAACCAGCCCGAAATCCGACTCCAGAAACCCTATCTTAAGCGCTTCAGCCTTCATCCCTGAAGCGTCCCCCGACACACTTCGTCTTTCGGGACCCCCGCGGAGGCCTTCCACCTAGCTGCAGAAAAGCAAGCCAAGGAGTGCTTTGCAAAGTTACGTGCAGAGGGGGGGCTTTCGGTGGCTTTGCTTCTGGGCTGTCATTGCGATCGTTATCGTGGCGGTCCCTGAACCCTAAACCCTGGCAGAGACGGGAAAAGGGGGCTCAAAAAGACACCTTAGACCCTAAACCCCATGTCTTGTGAGCGCGAGTCCGGGTCTGGTAAGGGCCCTTCTCCTCTTGAGGCCGTTGGGATTGCAAGACGCTGTAAGATTGACTTTGCATCCGAAGCGGCAGAACGTTTTGGTTGTTAGCTTTGTAGGGTTCTGGGGTGTTTAGAGTTTAAGCCCTGCCGCTGTAAGCCCTCAGCCCTTTAAAGCCTAAACCCTAGGCCCTAAACCCTAAACCCTAAACCTGTAAACGGGCAGAGACTCTCCATTGGCGGGGCGAGGAGCTTCGCGAGATCTTCGGGGAGGCGACGATCCAGGCGCCTGGTGAAGTTTGGGTGGCCGTAAGGGATACTGTAAATTACAGGGGTTTTCGAGAGGTGTTGCTATAAGGCTATCTGGAGGGTTTAGACTTTATAATAGGGTTTCTACAAGGGTTGTTACAAGGGTTACCATAAGGATGACTACAAGGGTTTCCACACAAGGGCTACTGCAGGGTTCTATGCGAAGTAGGGGCTAAGTAGGCTTATGTCGGGTGAGAGCATATATGGGGGCCTGCGCCGGCTGCTGGCATCGTGGGGTCCACCGGTGCCTCCCTGGCCGCTGCACCAGCCACGCTTAAAGACTAGCAATGTAAACCCTACACCACACGTGGTTTCCTGGTTCCAAAAGGCTTGTATGAAACAAATTTAGAAGAGTGTTTTATAAGGAGATTCGGGGTATCTTTTTTCAGTATGGTACGTCCTGATGGCGGGCATTTGTGGCAGTCGTATCTAGTAATCTAGTAATGTTTACCCACATTCTTTACACGCACACAGGGGTTTACGAGGTGTTCCGGATTGTCACTTAAAATGTTCACCTTTCTCATGTTGGAATGAACTAATATTGGACTGTCACTTAAAATGTTCACCTTTCCCAGATTGAAATGATTTAAAATTGTCCGGCAATAGCAAGACTCTCAAAAGAAGCTTTTTGTTGAGCGTTCCCTTAAATCACCCAAACGCTAAACCCCCGACCCCAATCCTTCAACCCTAATCCCTAAACCCCAGACCCCAATCCTTCAACCCTAATCCCTAAACCCCCGACCCCAATCCTTCAACCCTAAACCCCAGACCCCAATCCTTCAACCCTAATCCCCAAACCCCCGACCCCAATCCTGCAAACCCTAAACCCTAAACCCCAATCCTTCAACCCTAATCCCTAAACCCCAGACCCCAATCCTTCAACCCTAATCCCTAAACCCCCGACCCCAACCCTAAACCCTAGACCCCAGACCCCAATCCTTCAACCCT